ACCCTATTTAGCGACTACTCAAAAGAATCGAGTAGGCCAACGGAAGATTTTTGGTATTCCACAAAAATCGGGTAGGAATACTGATTATATATTAATCCCTAAAAATTAAAATCCAAAAATCTAGAAACTCTAATGTTTATGACTTTTTTATCTATAATCTATTGATGTTTTTGACTTTCTTGTTGTGTTTTATTGTAATTGTTTATGTATTATCGAATTTATTGTATTTTCTTTAGTGTTATTAGATTATTGTGTTATTTAATTGGTGTAGACTACTTAATTAAATTGTTAATATGATCTAAAAATTAATAACTAAAAAATATGTGTTTACCTGATTTCTTACCCGACTTCTTACGAAATTGTTTTGAAAGAAATTAGGGTAGAAATAGTACATTTGATCGGGTAAGATAGACCAAGAAAAAATTATTTCTCAAAATATCAAGTAAGAAAATGAAATATCATAATTCTTACATGTAAGGTAGGGTGAGCATCCTCTATATACACAAGAGTTTGGTCAAAGACTTGCCAGAATCATTTTTGGTCAAATTACACTTTAACTACTTCAGTTATAACCATTTTTTACATTATTCCTTAATTATCGTGCTTTTCACATTGAATTTTCAACTAAAAGTTATTTCACACTACCCAATGATTAACATCCATCACAAATTTGACAAAAAGTTGTTTTATTTTGCACCCGAACTGTGTGTTCTTTCTTACTTTGCCTCAACACGTTAATAATTTCCTTCTAAAAGAAAACAGAAATTTAAATTTGGGACAACATGAAATCAATCAAGAAATTCAATAGTGCAACGGGCAAATTAAATAGAAAACCTATTGAAAAAAGAATTACACACAAATGATTCATCTTGTTTTCCTTACAGGTGGTAGGATCAACTTGAAGATGCAGTTAAACTGCAAAAGCACAGGTAATAACTAATGCAAGTGTGTTTTATACCTGTGTGCAGTGTGCAGTGTGCAGTGTGCTAGGTGTGGGGAAAGAGGGTATTGTTTACATCTCTATCCCAAGTAAGGGTGTGAATGGACTCGTGTGGTGTCATGTTCAGGTTGCATGTCAAATTATAATGTCAAAACTGTTCATATAATGACATATCGAGGAAGAAACAGATAAAATATTATACATTTTCTTCTTATAATTCTGGTTATTCACCGCTAAAATTACCCGACCTCTTCTTTTAATTGATAGTGTTATTTTTGAATTTATATCATTCGGGGTTTGTTTCATGTTCATGTTAACATGTAAAAAATGGATTTTTGTCAAGTGAGGGTTAAAATAGAAAAATGGATATATGGCGCCATTATAAGTAAAAGTGTTCAAATTTTTGATTACTGCAAATTCTGACCTTATCCTACCTTACTCAACCCAACCCTACTTAGCGGCTACCCGAAAGAATCGAGTAGGCCAACGGAAGATTTTTGATATTCCACAAATATCGGGTAGGAATGCTGAATATATATATATTAATCCCTAAAAATTAAAATCCAGAAATCTAGAAACTCTAATGTTTTATTAATGTTTATGACTTTTTTTTATCTATAATGTATTGATGTTTATGATTTTCTTATTGTGTTTTATTGTAATTGTTTATATATTGTCGAATTTATTATATTTTCTTTAGTGTTATTGGATTATTGTGTTATTTAATTAGTGTAGACTATTTAATTAAATTGTTAAAATGATCCAAAAATTAATAACTAAAAATTATGTGTTTATTCGATTTCTTACCCGACTTCCTACGAAATTGTTTTGAAAGAAATTTGAGTAGGAATAGTACATTTGATCGGGTAAGATAGACCAAGAAATTTTTTTACCTCAAAGTATCAGATAAGAAGATGAAATATCATAATTCAGGGTAGGGCGAACATCCTCTATATACACAAGAGTTGGGTCAAAGACTTGCCAGAATCATTTTTGGTCAAATTACACTTCAACTCCTTCAGTTATCACCATTTTTTACATTATTCTTCAACTATCATGCTTTTCACTTTGAATTTTCAACTAAAAGTTATTTCACACTACCCAATGATTAACATTCATCACAAATTTGACAAAAAGTTGTTTTATTTTGCACCCGAACTGTGTGTTCTTTCTCACTTTGCCTCAACACGTTAACAATTTCCTTCTAAAAGAAAAACAGAAATTTAAATTTGGGACAACGTGAAATCAATCAAGAAATTCAGTTGTGTAACGGGCAAATTAAAATTGTGTTTGCAGTTAAAATTGTAACGGGCTAAGGGTCAGTATAAAATTCTTCAACTCTTACATATGCTACGCTTATCAAATCTGAAGAGTTTGCAGTTAGTGGTTGGCGGGTCACGAACGAATTGTGTCGTACCTTGTCACTCAAAACTTATGTAGAATACCAATCAACCCTGATTAGACCCATTTAGATTGTCTTACTTAATGCCTATTATTTGTGCTATCCCCTAAGGTGTTTTTAGGCTCTTCGCCAAATCACAGTCTTTCAAAGTGGACAACTAATGCCTTCCATTTAGTGAGTAGGGTTTATAGTAAGCCCCAATGGTATCAGAATCGGACTGGTCATCAAACTGGCAAGAAGACCGAGTCAATGGTTCACTGGTTCAACTGTTGGGTCAACTTGTCGGACCGGTCATATAATAAAATATATATATATATATATATATATA